ACACAAAGACACACAAACAGGATCATTTTCTCACAGAAACATGTAAAATCTCGTCAAATCTGACAGACATTTCTATGCTGAACACTGATTCTCTCATTTACACTCTCTCTCTCTCACACACACACACACACCTCAGTCCCCTTCCAACACCATTGACAGGGAGACAAACAGAGGATCTGAGAGGTTATAACAGCGTTAAAAAAAGAGGAAAAACACTGAAACCAGCCAAGACCTGAAATAGACGAGTGGCAGCGTTTTGACAGGCAGAGTGAAGCCGCCGCCGCGCTGAACGGCTTCATCCAGGAGGAGATTAGAAAACACACACAGAGTTTGAAGTGTGCATTATCTTTCCAGGGATGATCCCGAAATAAACAACAACGGCAAAATCTCCCAATAATTAAAACGCCTAATCCACTTCCTGGTTGGTGATGACCGTGGGCTGAGCGTGTCAGCCGGGACTCGTGGGGGATTGTGTGGCGTTTATGTTTAGACGCTTTTTTTTTTTTTTTTTATTTCAAGGTGAATTTATCGCCAGAAATACGAGGAATTACATCGAACGAGGAGAGGGCTTCAAAAGTGAAATGCATTCACGGCATTGTGTGAAGGTTGTCACTTCAAAATTCAACCTTTACATGATTTCCATGTTTGTAGAAAAAATGTCATTTCTTATCCTCAAAAGCATCAGATGAAGCAAATCCTAAAGCTGTTTTTATCCCGGGCCGCTCTGTGTGACTGACATGTTATTTTTACACCTCTGTGTTTCTCGCTTTCATCCAGCCTCTTGTCTCCTTTATGTCCTGATTCTGCTGTTGATGTTGTCTTGTTAAGCCCTGTTTACCAACCTCCACCTATTTCACCAATTATACAGGGACAAACTGTGCTCTTTGTTTTGGGAAATTTATGCATGCTGGCAAAAGTTGTTTTTTTTTTTTGCCTCGTTTCTTGATTTACATAAAACATGTTTCATTTTAAGCTTTGGGCGTATTTTGTTAAGAAACATTCTTACTTATTACAAGAAAAAATATTTCATTTGGACTACTTTGGCTTCCTTTTGGTCTCCACTGATCACTCCTGTATACTTTTTGGGGGGGGGGGTTGGGCCCTTTAATACCTTTATTATAGAGATACTGTGGATAGAGTTTGAAATCAAGGAGCGAGAGAGAGAGAGAGAGAGAGAGAGAGGGGCTGCAGGTCAGATTCGAACCCGGGCCGTACGCTTGGTGGTCCACAGCCTCCGCACATGGGGTGTGTGCACTAACCACTAGGCTACCGGCTCCCCTACCTGTATCCTTTAGGTGGTTTTGTTTTTCATGGTTTCTCTTGTAGCCCTGAATTTTGAGGGCTGCAGTGAAAACTTAACACTGCAATATACCATAATCCAAACGTTAGTGCCACATCAAAATGTTAATACGGCGCTGGTAATTTGAAGTCACAATTTAGACAAGGAACTCTTTCGTAGTTTATGAAAAATCGAACTCTTAAAAAAGGGTTCTTTGTGCATCTTTTTACAAGCCGCTTTGTGGCCTCTGAGCAACTGCTTAGTCAAGTTCAGCCTCAAGACAATTACGTGTTTGAAGTTCTTAAAGTATATACTTGAATATTTATTAATAAGATATGATTCATTTATCCGATTAAGGGACACTGAATTGTTGAGCATAACTTGTATTTTTTTAATATGAGTGTAAGTGTCTCCAGCATCTCTAAATGTTTTCTTTTTACTTTTCTAACATCTAAAGCAGCGTCTGAAACATGAACCCGCGTGACCTGATTCAAAGCCAGTGTGTCCCCACTTCTGTCCTCGCCCCAGCCTTTGGAAACCACTGCTCTTGAGGTTGGTGTAGGTCTATAGAGTTCTAATTAGCTGCATTCACAAACAGCGGCGGGCTCATCAAAATGCCGAGGCCTGCAGAAAGCCACAGCAGGGGTGAGCACAGTGAGTGTGTGTTTGCTGGTGTTTGTGTGTGTGTGTGTGTGTGTGTGTGTGTGTGTGTGTGTGTGTGTGTGTGTGTGTGTGTGTGTGTGTGTGTTGAATCTTGTACAAGTGGGTGTTTAGATGTGTGTGTGTGCACGGGAACCAGAGTGTGATTTGTGTGCAGGGCTGAGTGCATGTGTGTGACACCAATGTGTGTTCCTGAATCAAAAGGGGAAAGAAAAAAGAAAATGAAGATTCACTTCGAAGCAGCAAACCGAGGCCCAACAACCGCAACAAATTCTACAAAAACTCGCCTTTTTTTTTCTCAAACGGGTAACATTCACCGTCCTTTCTCACATTTGTATGCACGGCACAGGAGCAAACAACACTTCCGAACCACAGAGCACAAACAACAACAACCACACAACGAAGCAGTAAACAAAGAAGACGTCTCGACATCTCTCTGTTTTCCAGCCAACAAACAAAATGGCTTCCGAGGCGCCGTTTAGAGGCAAATAAGACGAGCGGCAGAAACAGAAACGGATCGGATGTTTTCTGTGAAAAGCTTCCAGAAACAAGTGTCCTCCTGTTCTGCAGAACAGAGACGGAGCTCACCTGGTATCGGCTGAGGATGTTATAGAACTCTCAGTAACGATACAATCTGGGAAAGTACACAAGGGAAACGCAGCAAACTCACGCATGATCACAGCAGAGAGGTAAAATATATAGAGATGAACATCAAACCATAGACACAGCAGGAGAAAGAGTGAAGAATCAAGGTGGCGAATTATCAGCTAGTTGAGCACTACCAATAGTTTTTTACTTTTGTGATATCAGCCAATATGTGTTTACAATATCAGCCAATATTTTGATCAAAAGTCACTTCTGGGCATAAACATGACAAAACTACAACCATTTTGCCACAAGTTTATTGCTGTTGCACATCTGAAACTTGTAAAATCTGACATGTGTTTCAACAAGCTTTATCTTAAAAGTTTAACCAATTAATTGCCTAATCATTATCACTCACATGACCCTGTTAAAGTCAAACAGGACAATGCATGTCCTTTATGTCCAACTTGCCAATGGAGAACCCTGCATGTCCAATACTAATGATACAGGGAGTTCCTTAGATTGCCAAATATTGAAGCATAGAGTCTCTGACCATGCTGCTGTATTTAAACAGTTAAAAGTGTTGATTGTCAGTTAATAAGAAAATTGGTCATCAATTCAGCAATCTCTGATTTTTCTCTTTATATTTACAAAAGTATTGTGATAGTCGAACCTCGGATACAGGAGGAACCATGCAGATTCCATTCTAGTGTTAGGACAGTGGATTAACAATTTGGTCTCACAGGGCTCCTTGGGGGGGGCATGGAAGTTTGTCCTTCTAGTCTAAATGTGTTTTGTGGACTGATGACCAATGACCATGCAGTCATGTGTGGGGGTACTAAGGGAATATGGGGTCACAGGGCCATTGCTACCAGCCATCCAGTCCTGGAGACCCACATCCTTGGCACAAAGTCAGCACGTTGACAGTGAGTATTAACCTTCACCAGGGTTGCCCCTTGTCACTGATTCTGTTTGTGATTTTTATGGACAGGATCTCATGGTGCAGCCAGGGGGAAGGAGGGTTTGTGGTTTTGGGGGGTTAAAATCTCATCTCTGCTCTTTGCAGATGATACTGTTCTGTTGGCTTCGTCAGGCCCAGACCTCCAGCAGGTATTGGGGCAGTTGCAGCCAAGTGAGAAGCAGTTGTGCGTTGCACAATTGGTGGTGTGGAACGAGTCTTAGTAAGGATGACCGTGCAGGTTTTCTTTACCTCTGCTGCATCGCTCAACTAGCATCGTTCTCATGGATGAGTTTTCCCAAGGAGAGCAAAAGTTATTCTGATGGTGGTGTAAGAAACTGACCCTATCCATCAATAGTATACTGATTCCTTATTGGCTTCAGTACCGTGTGGTCCAAGTTTACCAAAAAGGAAACTGACCTACAGGATACAACTATAAATAAATCCATCTCAACACAATTAATTGGCAAAGTGACTGACTGATTTACACATAAGTTCATGTCCTTACTGATGTATTAGTGCATGTGAGAGAGTAAACAAAGATGATTGACAGAATGATTAAATTAAGAAACAGCTAAATATCTGACAAGTGAACTACTGACAGCAATGTTTATGATCACATTCAGACACTCACAACCATGAAATGTTAAAGTCCACCACGTCCCACCTCTGATAAAAAAAACTAAACCGTGCATTAACAACAACAACAAGACCACTGGGAAGAAAAACACAGCGAGCTGATCTCCACAATCCACTCACACACAGAGGCAGGAAAGAATGAGTCTGAAAAACAGGAAGTCTCCTTCAGAAATCAACTGAAGCAGCTGAAAAACAAACTTGTTGCACCAAAAAAAATAAAAAATCACAACATCACCTGCTGAATGTATACAACACAGAATTCATATGTTGTTTAGTATGATGGAATATAACAACAAATACAACAGGTTAGCATAGAAAAACTTGTAACAGGTGAAAGTATCCAATGTGCATCAATCCACCACTGAAAATAGATAGTTTACCGTTGTTTGAGTAGCATTCAACAAAACGAGAGGCCAGTGATCATATTTCAGAAAAATAATTATAATTTCTTAATCAAATTTTTGGTAGGAAATATTAAGGTCAGGTCAGAGTGCCATGGACAGTTATGAGTAAATATAAATGGACTAACATATCATATCAAAGCAACACAATCAGACCAGGCCTCCACACTGATTGGGAAACATTTAACATTTTGAGCTACATTTAGTAACTGAAAAACTCCAAAGAGCATCAAGGCCAACCACAAGGATTCAAAGTAACAGAATAAAAAAAAAATGTCCTAGAATCAAAAAGTGATCCACAAAGCAGAACAGCAGAATCAAATCCTGAAACTGCATCTTCATGTTCAGAACATGGTTACCAACACTTGGAAATTTAAACAGCAAGCAAAGCAGCAGCGAGCAGGTGTAAGAAAAGAGGGGAAGAAGGGGGGAGAAGAAGACGGCAGTAGGGTGAAAAAAAGAGAGAAGGATGACGTACTTGAGCCAGAGAAATGTCCGCTCCCCAGGGAGGTTGGGCCGTTCTTTCCACTGCTAACAGGAGGGGAAAACATCTACAAGACAAATAGAGCACACATTACCTCCGAGAGCATTGACACTGCAGACAGCAAGACACATCTCTACAGAAACATGACTGCAGCTACGCATGAAAAGCTTCATTCCAAAACGCCGGGCCAAAATTGGCCTGAAAGATGCTGCTGCCAGAATCTGAGCACATTACAGTCTTTGTAGAAAATGTTCTGAATTTGAGTCTTACTTCTTCATTTGATTTGATTGAGCTTTATTCTGCTTTAAAATATGTTTATATTTCGGCTTGGAAAGAAACTCTTCTTGCAAATATATCATGAAAACAAAAAGGTCGATTATCACTGAGGCTGAGTATTGCAAAAACACTTTTAAGTCCTAATGCCAGTCAGATACTACTGCCAAGACCAGAGAGGATGTCAAGATCTTTTTATATGGGTACCAAGTCATGACCAACAAGGCTCAAGTCAAAACCAAGAGGTCCAGAGTCAAGTCTCAAGTAAATAAGTCCCAGGTAAATTCAAAGTAAGCCCAGAAAAAATAAGTCCCAAATTACTAAATCCCAAAAGAGCAAGCCTCAAGTTAGTAAGTCCATAGTAAGTCAGTCTGCAGTGAGTAACTAAGTTCGGAGCAGCTAAATCCTGAGTAAGTACAGTAAGTTCACAGCAACTAAGTCTCAAATGACAAAGCCCCAAGTTACCAAGCCTTAAGTACGTCCAAAGTGAGTCAGTCTTGAGTGAGTCCCCAGTTAACTGTGTAAATTGTGTAAATTGTGTAACTTAGTCCTCAGTTTTTAAGTCCTAAGTAAGTTGAAAATAAGAAGTCTCTGTAAGAAAGGCCCCAATCAGTCCTGAGAAAGTCAAGGGTAACCCTTGGTAAGTGAGCCCTGAGGAAGTTAACACCAGAATGAGCCCCGACTGACTTAGTCAAAAGTCACTAGGTCCCAAGTAAGTTCAGAATAAGAAAGTCCTAAACAAGTAAATCCAAATTGAGTAATTCTTAAGTAAGTCTTGGGTAGCTTAGTACTCATTAGGTCAAGAGTAATCCCACAAGAAGTCAAACCTGAGGATGGAAATCTGAGGGAAATGATGGGATAATGTAGACCAAGGTAGGCCTGAGTAAGTAAAACCCAAATAGGTATTGGGTGACTTAGTCCCAAATCAATAAATTCCTAGTAAGTCCAGAATAATTCAGCCCTGAGTAAGTAAGCCCCGGGTAAATCATGGTTAAAGTAAAGCTCAAGTAATTGAAGTCCCAGTTAAATGATACTTGAGTAGGTAAGTCCTAAATGAGCCATGGCCTAGTCCTAAGTGGCTTGGTCCCAATTGAGTCCAAGAGAAGTCAGTCTAGTAATTGAGTCCAGAGTAATTCCAAAATAAGTCAGCCCTGAGTATTTAAGTCTAGGGTAAATTAACCCTGCATTAATCTAGGACAAGTCTGATGTGAGTACAGAAGTCCCAGGAAAGCATGGACTGAATCAGTAAGTTTCAAGTAAGTCAAGGGTAACAGTCACTATATCCCTAGTAAGTCCAAAGTCCCGTAAGTCTAGAGTAAGTCTCGGGTAGCTCAGGTCTTGGTAACTGAGTCAAGTCCCCAGAAGGTAAAGCCTGATGAAGTCATACCTGAGTAAGTCCTGAATAAGTCAGATCAGAGTAAGTAAGGCCTGAGTTAGTAAAGCCAGATTACAGGTCCAGGTCATGTTGCAGATCAAGTCAATATAAACCCTGAGGCATCTCAAGTGTCAGGAGAGGACAAGTCTCAGGTCAAGTCCAGTGTCAAAGCCAACTAGTCCCAAATCAAGTCCAAGTCCTTGACTCTTTGAGTTTACTTCTTAACGAGCCAATTTGGGCTTAAAAATTATTTCAAACATGATGTCTTACCAAAACACCTTCATTAAATTTCACTGAACATTCAAAATTAATATCTACAACACATTTAGAGTCATTTATATGTGAAGGCCTTATGAATAAAAAAATCAGTCAAAGTCAACTAGATAGAGTCCAGAGTCAACATTTATTGGAGTCAAAGTTGATTTGTGTAAAAGTTCTGTAAGTCCAGTCTGAAGAGTCATGACTTTGGCTGACCCTTTGTTCAGGTCATGACTCCAGTCCACACCTCTTGATTCCAGCTTTTGGTCATTTGTTTTTGTTGAATATTTGATTAAATGGACATATTTTGGTTTATGTTGAAATTCATTGAGATTTTATACCCAGCCTTAATGATCCCACAGACCCTCAGCTCAGAGCTGAACACAGATATGAAGAGTTCAATTTCCAAAATACAGTGGGAACATTTTAGGGGAAGCAGAAAGAAATCAAAAATCCTCACTCAGCAACAGGATCAGTTTAATCACCTGCTCACCTTTAATACAAAATGCTTCAAAAGTGTCACTTCAGCCGAATGTTTGATGGCTCATTTTGGAATGAAACGCTTCATATCTACTTCATATCTGACTTTTAACACATGAGATCATCACCAGGACTATAGTGACCATCTGCTCTAGACATCTACAGGAAAATCAAGGCCACACTATGACAGAGACTGAAGCTGAATGCTTACTGTAAGAGCTACTATAAAGCTTCACAAAAACACACTTGACTCTTTAAAAGTGAGACAGCTGACCCCGATTGATAACCTCTCTGGATAAAGATCAGGCCCCTGTGTCGGTGTGTCTGACGGTGACAGTTCAGTGAGTGTAGAAGCTTCACACTTCCAGACGCTAAAGGATTTAGATTTGTTTAAAATGTTATTCCCAGTTGACCAAAATGTAAGTGAATTAAATCCTAAATAGAACAAATTATTTGTCTCTCTTTGTTCTTAGCACGGCCTGTGGGGCCTTTAAGTGCGTACGAGGCAGCTTGTGTATCTCCCTCAAGGCTGCATCAAATGACGAGAAAACAACTGTGTGCAAGATAAAAAGATCCGATTCTGATTATTAGCAGGTCTATCGATATCCCAGTCGAAGCCTCTCGAGCTGCCGGTGTCAGCTTGTGGGCGTGCAAAGACAGATGATCGCATAAATTAATGCAAGCGGCCTGCGTTGATAATGAGAAGAGACGCACTCTAGCTGCTGCTGCTCTCCTTTGTTTGAACGCTTTTCAAGAAAGATCATTGAAGACGGACTGATTGACATTTTTTGGAAACCTGTTCATAATCTATGTGAGGAAAAATTGGCGATAATATTCTTGTGATGTGTGTCAGGGACTCGATTATCTTTCTATACAATTAAAGGTTTTTGATTTTGTTTTTGCACTTTTTTCATAATCATATAATGTTTCTGCAGAGTGACTTAGGAGCATTAATTAAGGACTTTATTGGGATTTAACTGGACTTGATTATATTTTTGACACCTGAAAGATTGAATTAGTTTTATAGAATATGAAACAGTATACACAACTTTATGGTTGTGCTGCATCAAAACATATACTGTGTAAATATATATATTTTAGTATTACCACTATATTGCAATAAAGATTCATCATGTTTGATTTTGTAATACTGTATCATTTTTATTCCAATAAAATATTACTATAACCTTAAAATGAATTATCCAACAATAAATACAATGTGATTTTATTGAAATAAATGTACCCATGTTGTTTCTTAAATGTTGTAATAATGACTTGAGAACACATGTGTACCATCACATAAAGACAGTGCAGTTATTATATTGAACTTTTATCATTTATAATACCTCTTAATTCACTTATTTTACATGCAGGCCTATTGAAGCCATGGTGAGACATATTCTTTTATTACCGTAATATTCCTAACAACAGTGATCTGCTTGTGCATCCTTTGCACAACATCTCACAATAACAGTGCTATTACAGAGCCATTGTACTCATAGATTAATATGTTATTGTGTGTTGATACACACTGTTTGATCTGAGAGGAAAATCCCTATAGGGGATTATTGTGTTGTTCTAATAATAGCTTTAACATCTATGATATTTGTACCTTTCTATAATACTGTCATATCATCTGATACAGTGTGTCTGTGTGTGTGTGCATGTGTGTGAATGTGTGTGTGTTGTGTGCGCAGGCCTCAGCTGGGATCTGATTATATTTTTTTCATTGCATTAATGTTTCTGTATCGATCGAGAGGTACACCTATAAAGATATTTTCACCCTTTTTTCATCTACATCAGCATCATCACAAACCTCATTCATTAAAATTAAGGATGAAGCTCAGGTTATTCACTTTTATTACCTCGTGCTTTCTCTAAAGAAAACCTTCACCATCGCTCCCATTGGGTGTCAAGCTAACTGTGAATTTAATCATTGCATTAATGTTCTTAGAAGAAGTATTGTAGTAAAATTTTGTAATTTTGTTTCCAATTTCTGCTTCTCATTCAGCATCATTCCTGCAGCAGATATTTCTGTTTTTTACAGTCCCCATGTTTTCTCTCTATGTTTTATAAATAGGATTAATGTTAAGTCCGTTTTTTCTTTTTTATTTGGGGATGTTGGCTTCTTTTTTTTCTTCTCTCCCTCCTCCTCTTCAGACCAAAGTTGCTCCCAGAGGAGGAGAGGCGCAGAGAAAACATGGCCGAGAGCGGGGACACTGTTTCCTGCCCATCGAGTTCACAACTGTTCTGTTTTTGTTTTTTAAACGTGAACTTTTAAAGGGAGTGATGAGTTTGGCCATTTAACAGCCTGCTGCAGGAACATTTCATCTGCGCTAAGAAAGTGTGACACATTTCTCTCTGATCGGCTGCCTGCCTGCCTGCCTGTCTGTCTGTCATGCAGGTTCATGAATCAACATCGAGCCTTTTTGAGTCTGAAATATTCTGTTCAACACGGTGCAGAGTGCATAAACTCACACAGACAAAAAAAAGAAACATTTCATAAAATCCTCACAAGGGCAAAAGAAATCAGGCTACACATGAAGGAAAAAAGGACTTAAAATGAGATATACTACCATGGATGTTGGGAACATTTTCAAATCGCTGTTTCGCATCTATAAGACAACAAAATTACTAATGCAGCAATACAATTCTCTGCACACACACACAAACAAAAATGAAAATTACAAAACCAACAATATGCACTGACTTTTCTGAAAGTTAGTCTACATAAAAAGACACAACTTCTGTGCTAAATAGTTGCAAGACTGAGTGGAAATATGCAGGTTATGTGCCGTGCAACTATAAATGTAAACAGAGGTCGCTGTATGAAGCCTACAGGACGCGTTTAATTTCTCATTACGGCTGTGCTGTCATGATTCTAGTCTGCATATGTATTAATAAAAGAAGAAAAAGAAGAAGGTGCACTCGCTTACCGCGCTGAAATCCAGTAAGTCACTCAGTTCCTTGTCTGTTCCCAAAGCTGCCATCCGCTGTTGATGATGCATTTTAGCAAAATCGCACGGACCCTAAAACATGGAAACAAATGGAGAGATAGATCGATAGAGGAGGATAGGTAGACAGATTGATAGATGGAGAGATAGAGGGAGGGAGAGGAGAGAAGAGAGGAGGAAGACCTCGGCTTGTTTTTGCGCACCGCTCCGCTCCCGGATCTCTTTTTCCTCCACAGCGAAATAAATCCAGTAAAACAAGCTCAGAGCCTCGATCACAAATCTAGTTTTCTTTCATCCTCGGAGCTCAGTCCCGGGTTCCTGGTGTTGGCAGCAGGAAATAAATCGCAAGAGGAAAAAAAAAAACTGACAGGAAATAAAAGACTCGGGGGGCAACAGGACGGGAGTGTTTTCGCGTGTGTTTTGATCTGTTTCCCCAAAAGAAGTCCGACCTCTCTCCGCGCGAAGACGCAGCTCGTCCGCCGCGGCTGAGCCTGAAACACGATATAAATAAATAACAAGCTGAGTCCCCGAGAGCCTCCCAGGAAGGAAGAGAAGATCACCTCAGAAATATGTTGTGCTTGTTTTGTGTGAATGTGTCACTGGAAGAGTCCAGGCAGGGTGAGCGCTGCTCCTGACCGGGCTGAGGGTCCCCTCCGCGCGGCTGCGGGTGCTGTAGATCCCCGGGTACGCAGGACGGATCCCATGTGCGTCTGGCACAGCCTCGGTGTGATAAATGTGTTCGTGCGGCCACCTAGCTTACATTCTCGTCTAACACCGCCGCGCAGAGCACCGAGCCGCTGCTGCTGCTGCTGCTGCTGCTGCTGCTACAGGAGAGGACGGAAAATATGCAAGAAAATAAATAAAAATTAAAGGGAGAAAAAAAAAGGTTTGTTTGTTTGTTTGATTGGCTGATTGGTGCGGTGATTGGTTGGTTTGATTTGGATTGGGTTAATTGGGCTATTTGGGGTTGAAAAGGGGGATTTTTTTTTGCCCCTCGGGACTGTAGGGGTCTGCACTACTCCAAACTCAAACAACACAACTTTGTATTTTATGTTTTGTTTTATATGTTCAATACTTCCATATTCCATATGTGCTACATTTCTCTAAGCTTCTTTTGGCTCATATTTTAGTTTTTTTGTTATCTTCTTTAGAGAATCATTCTTCCTGTAATCATCCATTTCTATATTTTTTTTTTTGTGCTTTTTTGTCTTCGTTTATCTTGGATTAAAAAGTTCATTGAAACAAGTGCAGCTCTTGACCTGCATGCATGGTAACCCCCCACCCCCCATGTCTCCTCAAAAAACAGCACCAAGCACGCCTCTCTGGAAATACTTTACAGTAGTGTGTGTGTGTGTGTGTGTGTGTGTGTGTGTGTGCAGCCCACAGCCTGCTGGTATAAAATGACTGGCCTATTTCTGCAAATTACAGCCTGCATGTGCGGGTTCCTCTCGCAGAGGAAAAAAAAGCCAGCGAAACACACAGGTGCAGGTATGACATAAAGGATTATTTGTTGCTGTGTAAAGTGGTCCTGCCTGCTGGCTCTTCACAACCTTTCACTCTCGGACAAAGTAAAAGCCATGTAACAGCTTATAGAGGAAGCAGTGGAGAGCATTCAGAGATCCACTTCTTTCTAAATATATAAGCGCAAGAGCGTTTTAATTTGTGTTATGTTGCAGATATGGGGTTAATTTATTCAGCAACGTTTTTGTTTGTTATGGTGTTAATGGGACAGTGAACATAAAACACACCTGTACACTTCTATACACATGACAGGTCAACATGCAGCAGAGAGGCACTGTAAACAAGGCACACCCAAACCCTGATTATAAACCAGATAAAGTACAAAAAAAATGCAAACAGCTTGAAGACCCCCAAGAGGTTCAGGGTGTCAGATTCATTGTGATAGGATCTCTGATTTATTCAAAAATAATTTGGGATATTGTGTGATGAATTTAAATATAAACAAAGGCATGCCACATATTATAAGTCCATAGCTTTGCTCTGTTTGCAGAGACGCCAAGCATTGAAATGTCCTCAGAATGGCGCCTCACATTACATTTTGCCAGGTCAGAGTCGCCTTTTTAGGTCACTAAATAACCCTAAAAAACATCACATTGTTTACAACACCAGAAGACGTCAACTTAGTGAATATTATCACTAAATATTAACTTTAAAAAAGCGTTGAACTTCTTGCTTTGGTGGTTGAAAAAGATATGGATGATGTTAAGAAAGTGATGCATTAGGGTTCAGTCTTCATCTATAAAAATAACAGAACTGCTTTTCTTCTTAAAGGGACAAAAGGAGCTGAAGTCGATCCCAGCTTACAGCGAGCGAGATGCTGCTACACCTGTCGCAGGACTGAATTAACGCCCTCCCAAACTTAGTCTACAATCCTGAAAATCTCCCTGCATGTGCATGTGTGAACACAATAAGTTGAATGTTTCAGCCTGACTTTACCTAGACTTTTCTCCTGCCAGAGCCCACGTAAAAAGTCCACAGGAAGTCGGGGTGAGCTGATGTGTGAACACAGCGGGCGAGTGGGCAAGGGGGATGTTGTGACATCTCGCAACTGGTGAGAAACTGGTGGGATCTTTGTGCACGTAATGAAGCTGCTTCAGATTCTTTTCTTCTCACCAGTATGTTTTTTTTCATAGTCTGAATACGTTCAGATACACAAATCGTTGAAACTAATGCAACAACTGTCATAATCAGACTCTGCTGGCTCATCTACATCTTGGACATGTTGTTAGCATCACACTGTGACTTCTGAATTATCATTTTGACTTATGGACCCATCCCCACCTCCCACCCTAATCTGACAGGTGAAATCTCTCCCTGTGAGGGGACATGTGTGAAGGGGAAACCCTGGAAAGGGCAGGTTGTCCTAATATTTAAAAAAAAAAAAAAAAAAGGCCTTATTGACACTGTTCATGTCACACATAAGCATCACTTGCTTTAAGGTTGATGTGTTGAAAAAAAGCTCAAGGCTTAAGGTACTGCTCCACTGTGTTCCAACGACGGCTAGCGTCTCAACGCTTTCTATTAATTTCCTATGGAGAGCCAGAGAGGCAGTCCCGCAGTGCATGTTGGGAGTTTCAAGAGGGGCTCCGAGTGACCGCCCAGACTAGTCGTGCATTTATGCAATCAGGTGCATTCATTGAGGCTACATCACCTATTGCGTAACCTTCAGTGAACAATTTGCTATCAAGAGTGGGTGGAGAGGTCCTGGAGAAAATCAGAAAAACAAGTCCACTTTTCAGTGGGTATACGCCCATCAAGTACAGAGTTGAGTGCTCCAGCGCGATGCCTTGTGTCCTCGCCTGAAGCAGTGGAGCCATAAAGTTACTGAGATTTTTTTCTCTAATCATTGGAGGACCAATCAGAGCTAGAAGAGTGAGGGTCTAACGTTCATCAGGTGGACACAAACACAATTCAGATGAAGTTTTTTTTCTGTCAGTATGAAGAGAAGCTAAGAAAACAAAGTTTGGCTAAACATCTGCATGAACAACTGAACAATGATGAAGACATAAAAGATGTATGGAACAAGTCCTTATGTTAACTATGTTTCTTTCTGATTACCAGCATCTATATAAAGACAAAGGAACGAGTGGTGGAGGGTGTGAAACAGGACAAAGAAATGACAAAAACTGAGAAGAAACACGTTTACATTAACATGATTACATTTTTATCTCATAGTGAAGGCTGTCCCACCGATAAAGGCAGAAAGTCCCCAAAAATCATCTTAAAAACCAAGCAGAGCCGTCAACCTTCTGTCGCTTCTCTCCCATTACCGACACGTGAATGCAGGAAAGGGCTGCATAACATTTTAACATCAAACTCTGGTTTAGTCTGAGTGTATTAACCTTGAAACAGAGCAGGAACACACAGTGATGGTCTGACATGGAGCACAGTACGTCTGTCACATCTGGGTCAAAACTGAGCAGTAGAAATCATCCGAGATGTCTGGAAGACGTTACATAAGGAGTCTGGAAAGAGGGGTCATGGGGGGGAAATACTTCCTGGTGTGACTCGGTCAAATGAACGACTGAATACTAGCCTGTACAGATTAGCATGGAGAAAACATGAGACAATGAGGTAAGGTTTAATATGCAACATTTTGAACTGTCAAATATATCCTAACTAGTTCAATCAGTGAGTAATGGCTTTCTCTAAAGAGGGAAGTCAAACTCCCTCGGGGCTAGTTGTTCTGTGACAAGACGGGACGGCGCTTCCTGCAGATTGTTTATGTTTGGCTCAGAGGCTCAAACATGTTTCCTTCACGAGAACACCTCCCTGTGTGACCGTCAGCCCCGTCACCACGTGGGGAAGAGAGAGACCCCGCCCATTCAGGGACCCTGTTATTAGAGGCATTTTGTTGTGAGTACAACTCAAGGAGAACAAACCGAACAAGCAGAAAGAACTCCCATGATTCCCTGTTAGCCTCGACGTAATCTTCTGTTATTGTAGTTTTGATTGAGAGCCCCCTGGCGGTGGAATCTACATATTGTATCTTTAAAAAAGTGAGAAAACTGAAGGGAGCAAACATGTTACAGCCCTAAACCATCACCATATTTGGTCCCTAAAATGTAATCATTATAAACTGTTTAGGAGATCTGACATAGTCAACAGCTTCTATCAAGCTTTTCAGGAACCA